GAATGCCAGGGGCAGGCTCGAGTTTTATGCTTTTAGGTGTGTTTCCCCTCAAAGAGTTGCTGTACAGAAGTTTCCTCGACAGGAAAAAGATGTCAAATACCTTTCTACCAGTAAAACTCATTTAAATTATCAGTGGGGGGAAAAAAAAATCAGTTTTACTTAAACACTGTTCCTTCTGTATTCTTCAAGGAAGTGCAGGTAACCAGGCAAATCACAAGACCTTGAGGCACTGAAAGCACTTAAAACCATCTTTTGCCAAAGATCTGTAATCCCTGATTTATTTTTCTGAGCACAGAGCTGGGATTTGGTACCGGTCTGGTAGGGGATGCTCTCTCCAGAGCATCCCCTTTGAAACACTGAGCCTTAAAATGCCAAGACTTGCTCTTACCTTCCCTCTAGGTCAATGTTGGGTGTGTGCCGAAGAAGGTAAGGGTGCTTTCATTGCTGGCTTTAGGGTGGGTGCCTGCCAAATTGGGGGGGGAAGCAGGGGCTCAGGGCATATTGAGCCATCAGGATTCTGCAGTATGCTTGCATACACATCCTGTGGGCTGCTGCGGGCAGAGGGGAGGCATTGGGAAGGGTCGCTGGGGTTTTCCCATATTCTGACTTGCGGGTTGCATGAGCAGGTGATGTGGAACGCAGCAGTCCACATGGAGTTTATCCATGATCATGCCGACTATGGCTTCGAAATGCCCGGCATCAAGTTCAACTGGAGGTAAGTATGGAAAGAGCCAGTTGGAATCAAGAATGTGATTCCCATGGGAAGCAGCTGCAGAGCAGCACCGTCATCCTGTGGTATGTTGTCCGCCCCAAAGGGGTCCCTCGCTTCTTTGAGGCTTCCTGTGGATGGATGCTGAGCTGATTATGTAGCCTGGATTCCTGCTGTATTTTGGAAAATGGGTGGGAATAGACTCTGGAAAAGGTGGATGAAGGGAAGGCAGGCACAAAATATCATGCTGGTGGGGAAGGCTGGGCAACTGGGGGCTGTCTCATTATGTGTTGTGGGTGCCATGTACCAAAGGAATTGAATTTTTTCTTGCTGAGCTCTGTAGGTTCATTTGCTCATGGTGGCAATAAGTCCCTGCTCTCTTCCAGAACCATTAAAGAGAAGCGTGATGCTTATGTGAGGCGCCTCAACGAGATCTATGAGAATAACCTCAAGAAGGTGAGGATGTGTTTATCCTGCAAGCTGAGTGGGGAAGTGGAATCTGCTGGATTTTCAGCCACTTTTCCAGCCTTAACAAGTGTCATCTTCTCCCCAACTCCATTAGCTGGCTCTCACACCTTGTCCTGCTGGAATGCCCCATCCCTGGCAGTGTTCAAGGCCAGGTTGGACAGAGCCTTGGGTGACATGGTGTAGTGTGAGGTGTCCCTGCCCATGGCAGGGGGTTGGAGCTGGATGATCTTAAGGTCCTTCCCAACCCAAACCATTCTGTAATTCTTACTTCACCAAGGCTCACATTGACATCATTCGGGGCTATGGCAAGTTCACTGCTGATCCTGAGCCTACCATCGAAGTGGATGGGAAAAAATACACAGCTCCTCACATCCTTATAGCCACAGGCGGGCACCCGGCTGTCCCTTCCGACAGCCAAATTCCTGGTGAGCCTGACAGAATCCTGCCAAAGTAAAATGGGGTTTTGGGGAGGGGAAGGCAGGAAGGGGTGTGAAAGGGGCTCTGCTTTGCAGGTGCCAGCCTGGGGATGACCAGTGATGGCTTCTTTGACCTGGAGGAGCTGCCCAGGTAAAATGAGGCTCATTTTACCACCACCACCTTGCCGCCACCACCAGCAGCTCCACATGCCTGCACACAGCATCACCCCTTCTCTACAGGCGCAGCGTGATTGTTGGTGCCGGCTACATCGCAGTGGAATTAGCGGGGATCCTATCCACACTGGGCTCCAAGTCATCCCTGCTGATCCGCCAGGACAAGGTAGTACCACCGGTTGTCCCCAGCTGTGCTTCCCGTCTGGTAGTCACATCCCAGCTCATCAGAGCATCCTGCTTGTGAGCTCCTATATGAGCTGCTAAAGGAGGGTGGGAATGGTGATGCAGAGGATGGTGGTGTAATGCCAATGGGTGTAAGGATGGGCGTAATGAGGAGCAGAGTGTAGGTGTGCTGCCAGGCAATTTGACAGCACCAGCCTGTGCCTGGCATTCCTTCTGCCACAGCAGCTTACTTGAGCTTTATTTCAAATCCTGACTTGAAAATAAGAAAACCCAACAAATTAAAGGAAAAGGAGACAGAGGAGAACTTGATCATTAATGCCCCAGACCTCTCTGGGCCTGGATGGGGCATGGGCACAGGGGAATGCCCAAGGGGGGGGCTGCCAGGTGGTGCTTTCACCTGTAGACCTTCATCTGATGAGGCTGGCGGGTCCCTGTCCAGGTTCTGAGGACTTTTGACTCAATGATCAGCTCAAACTGCACCCAGGAGCTGGAGAACACTGGGGTGGATGTCTGGAAGCACACACAGGTACTGGCGTGCTTTTCCCATCTGTCCTGGAGATGCAGGGATGGGGGAACACTGGCATTTTGGGGCATCCCTGGCTCTGTGGTGTGGCCACTGCCACCTGTTATAAGGCAAAAGCTTTGTCACCTTCTTCTGTTGTAGCTCCTGTTGTCCTCCACAGGTCAAGACGGTCACCAAGTCCCCTTCTGGGCTGCTGGATGTGACAGTGACCTCCTCAGTGCCGGGCCACAAGCCAACAGAGGGAGTGATCCAGGACGTGGACTGCCTGCTGTGGGCTGTGGGGAGGGAACCCAACACCCAGGACCTATGCCTGGACCGAGTGGTGAGATGGCAATGCTGGTGTGAGGATGCCTACAGGTCTCCAGGAGTCCCACGGGTCTCCGGGGGCCCCATGGGTGTCCAAAGCCTGCCACAGGATGGTATTCCCGCCATGACCTCCCTGCAGCTGGTAGTATTGTGACCACCACCATGGGTCCCCCATGGACATTGCTTGTCCCATCAGACCCAGGACACTTTGTCAAAGTGCCTGCTGTTTCCCAATGGCAGGGCGTGCGGATGGATGCCAAAGGCCATGTGGTGGTGGATGAATACCAGAACACCACCAGGAGAGGGGTCTATGCCATTGGGGACGTGTGTGGGAGAGCTCTCCTCACCCCAGGTACCATGGCCATGCCACCTTCCCCCCCACAGCCCATTGGTGCCAAAGCTCAGGCTCCTCATCCTCATCCCTTCCCACAGTGGCCATTGCAGCTGGCAGAAAGCTGGCCCACAGGCTCTTTGAGGGCAAGCAGGACTCCCGGCTGGACTACCATTACATCCCCACTGTTGTCTTCAGCCACCCGCCCATCGGCACTGTGGGTCTCACTGAAGGTAGGGACAAACGGGGCTGGGGACATTGTGGCTGAGAGGTGCTGATTTGGTTCTCAGGGAAACAATCTGATCTCCATCAAGTGGTCTGAGCCTTGCAAAATGTGCTTTGAGTCCCTCTTCATAAGCACCTCATGCTTATGGTGCAGCCCCTTGACTCATGTGTTGTGTCTTCTGCTGCAGACGAAGCCGTGGCCACACACGGGAGGGAGAATGTGAAGATCTACAGCACATCCTTCAACCCCTTGTACCATGCTGTCACCCAGAGGAAGGTGAAGTGTGTCATGAAGCTGGTATGCGCTGGCAAGGAGGAGAAGGTGCGTGGAGGAGACATGTGGGGACAACTGGGCACTGCATGGGGATGGAAAGGACCACAGCTGTGGTCCTTGTACCCACGTGGTCAGGTCCAACCTGATCCAGCTCTCCCAGCATCAAGTCCATTGTTCACCCTGGATTCATTGATGTCCACAAAGATGCTCTGAGGGCTGGGGCAGCTCTGCTCTGGAGACAGGCTGAGAGAGCTGAGCTTTTTCAGCCTGGAGAAGGCTCTGGGGAGACCTTAGAGCAGCTTCTAGTGCCTAAAGGGGCTGGAGAGGGGCTTTGGACAAGGGTCTGTAGGGACAAGACAAGGGGGAATGGCTTTAACCTGACAGAGGGGAGATTTAGATTAGATCTTAGGAAGAAGTTCTTCCCTGTGAGGGTGGTGAGACTGTAGCAATAGGACAAGTGATGGCTTTAAACTGAAACAGAGGAAGTTTAGGTTAGATATAAGGAAAAAGTTGTTCTCTGGTGGTGAGGCCCTGGCACAGGTTGCCCAGAGAAGCTGTGGCTGCCCCATCCCTGGCAGTGGTCACGGAC